ATTTCAAATTGATCAAATGATAACTAATCCAGTAGTAAGACTAAAATAATAATATTTACAAAAATAAAAATAAAAATAAAAATAATAATAAATATAACCTCCCCCTATTATTATAATGAAAAAAAGAAAGAAAATCAATGAAAATATTTTTTATTATAATTTTCTGTAATAAAAGTAAAAATACTTTTCTCATTATAAATATGAGATAATAACTTCTTCTGTGACAAAAGAAGTTAAACTTCTCCTGCACAACCATCATATCCCATGCCAAGCTATTCTTTTTTCTAAAAAAGAGGCTTCTCTTTTCTTATGTCTCATGGGATAACATCACTCATACCATAAACACAATAAGTGATGGGGTCCACAAATTGTTAAAAATGAAAAAAAAGAATAACATGTAATTCAATGTCTCACAACATGAGAAAACTATCTCCTATTGCATAAGAAAATGATACCCAAAAAAATGGATGACATAAATTGTCTCTAACTCATGAGACATAATTTCTCCTGCAACTAGTGTTTTCCCCTATAAATATGTAAAGTAGTGATGAATTCATCGTTAGTTTGGGATAAATTGTAACACCATGAATAAAGTAAACCCAACCATATTGAGCGGCCTAGGCCTAAAACAGTATCATGAGAAAACTATCTCTTATTGCATAAGAAAATGATACCCAAAAAAAATGGATGACATAAATTGTCTCTAACTCATGAGACATAATTTCTCCCGCAACTAGTGTTTCCCCCTATAAATATGTAAAGTAGTGATGAATTCATCGCTAGTTAGGGATAAATTGTAACACCATGAATAAAGTAAACCCAATTATATTGAGCGGCCTAGGCCTAAAAGCTAATCATTGGTCCAGGTAAAAAGAACTATCCGAAAACACTAATCCAAGCCTAAAAAGTTGGGCTATTTGACCTATTTACCCTTTGATTAATTAAAAATTACCACTTCGCCCATGTTTCCAAACATATCACCCATCTATATCCCAGTTTGACATAGGTTTGGGGAGCATCTATTCAAACAATGTGGGATTAAGTAGTTACGTTCTGGTGAGTGGGTGTATAAGGTTGCCTCTGGGCCACCTAAAGTCCCCCTCCACCATGATGTTAAGATGAAGGATGCACTTGCAGGTGATGATGATGATGCATTATGTTTAATTTGTAATTTAATCTGTCAACATTGATGTTAGCATTTAATATTCTTGTTGTACTTGCAAGCGATGATATTGATGTTCATGCTCCTGACGGGAATGAGCCAGCTGTTGGTGCATATGCACATCTTCCTCGCCAGTCGCCACTAGATCCTCTAGCTCCTGAGGTTGTATGGAGAATTGATCATGTCATGTCATCCATGCACAGGTTGACATGGAGCGTCGAGACCTTGGCGCATGACTTTGGGGGATTTAGACAAGACCAAGGCAAGTGGCAGACTTTGATGGAGTCAAGAGTGGAACGCTGGGATTCCAGAGTGGGACGCTTGGAGTCAGGGCATATACAGGGTATGGAGGAGCCTGCTGTTGTTGTTGAATCTGCTTCAGAATTTTGACACATTGGATGACGTGAAAAGAGATATAATAGAGGGTCTCATATATAAATTTTGTGGTTAACTCCATTAAAATGTTTTTTTTTTGGGAAAACTTCAAAAATTCCCTCTTGAATCACTTACTCCCTCCCAAAATTTTGAATCATTTATACCGTTATTTAAATTTTTTTTATCACTTACCCTCTAACTTAATTTTCCTTCCAAAAATAAAGTTAATGGAGTTAATTTCTTTGAAAAATGCCTTAACTACCCTTAAAATAAAACTGAAAAAAATAACGTAAAGGAACCCTTGATGTGAGGGTAGTTTTGATATTTTTTTAAAAAATAAACTCCGTTAACTTTAGTTTTGGATGAAAAATCAAGTTAGGGGATAAGCGATAAAGAAATTTTAAATAGTGGTTTAAATAATTAAAAATTTCAAAAAAGTGTATAAATAATTATGAGAAAATTTACAGTTTTTTTTTGTTAAGTTTTCCTTCTTCTTCTTTTTTGTGGTAAGCTGCTATTAAAACGTTTATATTACATGAATAATCCACACAAGAAAATCTATTCTCACCATAAAGAAAGAATTCAGCTATATACGAAATGAGAGAGAAATTTAGATTTATTTTCTTCAAAAAATATTGTTATTTTAGGTTCCTTTTTAAAAAATAAAATTGATATTGGACTTTCAAATTTTTTTAAGTCATAATTTAATTGGATTAATTAATTAAACTGGTCATCAAACATGATGATGTAGTAATTAAGTAATAATATATAAAAAAATATTAACAAAGTTTTGTAAGAAAATATAAAATTTAAATTTGTAAAAAATATATGTCTAATTATAGATGTATCTAAATTAAAATAAATAAATAAATTACGACTCATGTTAAAAATATTTTTAATGGGATAACCTAAATTAACATTTTCCTCATTTTATTTTTTTGGGTGACAAAGATAATTTGGATTTAAAACTTGAAATATAGTTCGAAAATGTACACATCCTCGCAGGGTAGTGTGGCCATTGATTTCTGTGAATGAGAGAACTGAGAGGGGGAGAGATGGAATACTGAATAGCGATTGGTGGATTTTTGCGAGGTTTGCAGCGTAGAATTTGCCTGTAATAAGTATTAGCGCTTTAAACTTTTCTATCCAGCTAATTTAATGGGAAAGGGTTTTTGTTAATGTATATATTTAGGGACACGATAAAAAATTAAAATTATCTACAAAAAAAAAACTAAAATTAAAAATTATTAAATAAAAGTTAAAGAATATAACGTATCAAAATTTAAATATTCAATATTTTTTTCTTTATGTAATTGAGAAATTAATGAAGAGTAGTAAATGTCATTTTATATTTTTTAATCATGCTTTTAAGATTCATGTAAATGTCCTTTTAAAAAATACACGAAGACTTCTGGTCTTTCTTAAATACTTATTTATACATTCATTTATTTTTTAATTTTTGAATTGTGATTATCAATGCATGTGAGATATTTATTTAATCAACAAAAACCACGACAGTCGTTATATAATGAAGAGTTTCGAGGAATTGGGGTTAGTCAAAGTAAATTACGGCGAGTTATAAATGCTTGAGAATCATTTGTTATTGAAGCTAGAGTTTGTTACAGGGGTTTTGGTTCAGGAGATATTTCTTTTTACTAGAGAAATATAAATTCAAAGAAAAACGTTGAAAAGTAAGTTTGGTATGAAAGTTTAAAAAAAGTAGTTTGGTACCGTAAAATATTAGTGGAGAAATTGGGTTAAATATGCTGAGTGTATGTTTGGTTGAAAATAAAAATTTGATGGTAAAATAGATGAAATTTACGGAAGTAACCTTTTTTATAAAATTTTAAACCATTAGAATATGGATTTTATAAGAGTTATGTTGTAAGAAAAGTGATTGTGTAATGTAATAGAGATTCGTTTTGCGTATCGTAATTTCTTTTTTTTCTTTTTTTCTTCAAAAAGTGTGGGCCCCACAAAATGTTGTGTGTAGAAAAATTTGTTTATCATGTTAAATGACAAATACAAATCCCTTAGCACATATATCACAGGGGTATTAATGTCATTGTTTTTACCCACTTTTTTTATTTCTCCAATTTTGACAGAAATACCACTTTGGAAGAAGCATTCTTCAACAGTGAATTTGTCCATTTTGAACACGCTTTTATACTTAGATAGCAAAGTGTGTTTGATAGCTAAAAATAATAGAATCCTTCAACCAAATGAGGAGAATGGAGATTACTACATGCACTTAGATGAGAAAAGTTTGAAAACTCTTGAATCAAACACCCCCTAGCTAGAGTTCGGAGATGCTAAGTAATTGCAAAATATAGAAAGTTTAAGGTATATACGCACACGCATACACATATATATTCATTTTTAGTTACAAGTACTTATGTAAACATGTAAAGATAGAATGTAAATCCTACCACGACGATAGGTGGCCTTCGTAAATATGGAGCACCATTTCTACATTATGTTATTCTGTTGCCGGCTAATGGGTATCAATTGAAAAAGTTATGGAGTCTGGTCTGTCTGGAGAGCGCTGAGGGGAGGGGAGCATGGTCCCGGACAGTTTTTGTTTATTTTATATATATAATTAGGGTTCGTTCGTCAATAATTATATTTGGGTTTTAGTTCTCTCATGTTGTATAAGAGAAGCTATTTTATGTTGTGAGATAAATTAAGTGGGGTTCATCAATTTTTAAAAAAAGAAAAAAGGAAGAAAAGAGAAGCACGTCTTTTTATGTAAGAGTAAAATGAGATAGAAGTCTTATGTAGCATAAGAGTATAATTTCCCATTATATTTATGTGCAGATCCTGAGATTTAAAATAAAAGTCAGGATCTGCATGCGTATCCTAACTTTTTATGTGTGCTACAAAAATTTTCTTCTGCAGTAACAACAGAAATATACTTGTTATATAATTATTGGATAAAATATTTATTATCTTAAAGAACACAATTTTATGTCATTTTAAATAAAATATTTGAATTTTGTATATATTTACCAGCCTTTTAGATTTTGTTTTCTCTATAAAATTAGGAGGAGAGTATTGTGGAGAGAGAGAATGTAAAAAATCAACAAATATGCATCGAAATTCGATTGTTTCACTTACACAAAATTCTCTCTTGTAAAATAATAAACGTTTATATAACAATATAACATGATATATATTAAACGCTTATGTGAAGAGAAAAGAGCAACAAAAAAAAAAAAAACATGAGCCCTACATATATATTTCTATATGTGTGTAAAAGATAAAATTTATTTCATATAGCATGATATATCTTAAACCCTTTTTTTATATATATATCCATCAATTTATTTATTATTTAATTAATCCGATTCAAGTATTTTGGAATATTTTCTCCATTCCCGTAACTCAAAATCAAAACGTCTTATTGAGAAAAAAATGCTTCTTATCACTTGAATGAATGCTTTTCTTTTTCTTTTTTTGGTATGAACTAAAATGCAAACTCTTTCCATAGCTTTAATGAGACATTTGTGCCGAATTAATGAAAGTGTTCCACAAGAGGGAATACAAAGGAAGATAGTTATGAAAAAACCAAAACAGATTTTATGTACCAAAATAATGCCCAGGAAAGATAATTGAACCGAGAAAATCACGAGTCTTTGGCATTACGTTCCTTTCTTCCATGAGAAAAACCATCGCCGTGTCTCATAATCCAGAATCTCTCTATTTCTTCTGCTTTACGACCTGGAATGCGACCAGCTATCAAATCCCACCTGTTCCAGTGTTAATTTTATATAAATTAATTGTACAAGAAAAAGTTCCATATCTATCTACTACTTCGTTGATTTTGCACCAACACATGCATGTATAGGTGAAGGCTGCTCAAGACTGAAACTAACAAACCGCCCAACTCACAGTTGAAAAAAGAACATATTTTATTTTCAAAAAGTTGCAGAAATTAAATAGTAGATGGATATATATTATATGTAAACGTCAATGAAAGATAAAATATCAATCAAAACTTTGTACGGACAAAATTCAAAATTGTTTCTTGCTGCCGCTCACAAAAAGCTCAGACCAGAGCAGATAGCTAGATGGACTCCTTAATTGATAAAGCCGCAGCAAACAGGTAGCTGCGCTATTGAAGCCATGATTGCCCAACTAAGAATAAGGAGCAAAGTCAACTCAACTTGGTTCAATTTTATCTTGAAATTAACAAATAAAAAAGCTTTACAGTTTCTCGTAATAAAATTATTTTTTACACATAAATAAAAATGTGTAAAGTCAACGTGGAGCTATATAACGACAAAAAAAAATTAGATCCCACACAGTTTTATATTTATCTAACACGTACAATATGAAAAACTTTACACTTAAATAAAAAATTAGTAAAATGGTACTAATCTATTTTCAAATGAAAGAATTTTGTTAGGCTGACGAGGCACCTTTTTACATTTTATCCTCCTTTGGCTCTTAGACCCTTCTAATAATTAGGTAAAAGGAATTTCCTACCAAATAGTTCAGTTCAGACCAGCTGGTTTATATCGCTAAAACTTGTTGCAACACCGACACTTATTCTAGAGGAATTGAATTGTGCCTCACCCGACCCCCCACCAAAATCAATGGAAAAGAATAAAAAAATCTGAAAAATATTTGGGGAGGCAAATGAAGCAATCTTATTTTCATCATAATGAAATCATTCAAAGAATGTACAATACCACGAAACTTATAAGTCACGAGTTTTCCGTCAATCGTGAGAAACTAATATTACCAGAAAAATGGTGCGCAAGTGCACAGATATGCAGAAAACTGAATATATTCCCTGTTAAATAGCACGTGCAATGGGGGTTTTTGGTTGATAAAGAAGCAAAATGCAAAGGGTTCTAATCGTGCACAGTGTATGCTTACCTATCCCCGACTAGCCCGTACATCCTGCGAATGAGATCCTCCTCCTGCTCGCTCATGTCTATGAATTGCCACACAGTACTGGTCACTTCTGCACCCGTTAACAATCATTAAACAAATATATATACACGAGAAGCGTTCAGCTATTTGATTCACAATATCGCGCCCAACTTATATATGCATATCACCGATCAACCTCTTAATTAGTACATATAAGAAGCAACAGTTTAGATTGATATCGAAAAGGTATAAACAACTGAACAACAATTCAAATTACAAAAGGCAATGACATAAAGTGATGAAAATGGTGTCATGGGATGAGATTGAAAACCTTCAGAGGTTGTACTTGTGATTGTGGAGATCTTTGCCTTATGTGGAGGGTGCTTATCCATTTGTCTGGGTTAAAAAAACAGAGGGGCAGAGACTGCTCACACGAAGATATATAATTTGTTTTGGAACTGCCGAAACATTAGAAAACTTTTATGCATAGCTTTGGCCGTGGGTTAATCAAACTAATGTAATATAAATACCTACAACTACCATATATATATATAATTTAGTGTTTTTCATATTATAAAAGATAATTTTATCTCTTATATACACATTAAAATACGTGAGATTATGTTTTCTTATTCTCTTTATTTTTCTCATGGGTCTTACACACTTTTATGTGAGTGTAAGATATAAAATTATCTTATAGAACATGAGAAATATTTTTCCCATATATATATGAAAATAACATTTGTATAGCCAATTGAGATAAGCTTATATCCAGATATCTCTTATAATTATATAGGTTTTATTAATTTCATGTTAAATGAGATAAGTTATCTCATGTATAGAGATAAATTTGTAGGCTCCACCATTTAAAAAATAAAAAGAAAAAAAAAAGAAAATAGTGACACATTTATGAAAGAGTGTGTAGGAGAAAAAGTTATCATATACACCTTCTAGAGGACGTAAACATATACACCTTCTAGAGGACGTAAAGAACACCCAGCGTGTTCTATATACCTTCTAGTGGACATATATAAAGAACACCCAACGTCTTCCTGACTTTGTTTAATATTCAATGATTTCCAGCATACGCAGATAGTCCGGTACTTTTCAAGATTACGTTTAAAGAAAGGAAAGTGAGCGGCTCCATATCACGCGGCAGAACAAAATTTCGGGTGAGTTTTTTAGAATAAAATAGTGTGAATGAAATACACCTGTTAATCTATGAGATTTGTATATTTATTTTACGTCTATGCTGTAAACATTTGTCCTTAAAAGTGGATCTAAATAAATGTAAAGATGATTGTAAAGGTAAAAATTGTTTAATTTTACCCTCTCAGATCCTCTAAGAGGAGATTGGATAATTTGTTGTTCTGCGACGGATAGAAACGACAAAGTCCGCTGAAAAAGATGCTGATGACTGCTTGGTGGATACATCACGTGGCAGAACGGCAGATACAAAACAATTGATCTCACTTTATAAAATTATGAGTTTGACTAGTAGCTTTTTTTTTTTTATCTTCAATAAATTAGTGAATCAAGTTATTAGAATATTAATAACTGTACTTTCTTTCATAACGAATTTAATTAATAAATTTGGGGAATTGGACAATAGATGTCACTATAACTGAGTTGCGCTACTTTCCCGATGTATATAAATGAATGCAAGAAATTAGGTCCAATGGTTGGCTTATCTCATGAAAGAGTTCTAGAAACTGTTTTAATATGGAATTTTATACAGGGATATTTTTTTTTATGTTGTAAAAAAATATGTTGTAAAAATAAAAGTATAAGTGAGACTCACAGATAAGATGAGAGAAAAAAAATGATAAGACTTAACTCATTTTATGTATATAAGAGAGTTATTTATCTCATGTAAAATAAGATAAACATAATCCTTTATATAAATAGTGCGCATTAGAGTAGGCATTCTAGAAAATAAACTTCCTTCCCTTGTTAATAGTCCCTTCTTAAGTTCATGGAAGAGTTTGTTAATGAAAAGTATATTGTATACATTATGTGAGACATGCTTATAATTCAAAAACTATCATAGGTGGTAAAAAATTTAAAAAATCAATTTTGTAATAAACAAGAGAATTTTTTTTATAAGATATATACTTTTTATATTAAAGATGAACAAAAATTTATAAAGTTATTTTTTTATAACATAGACTGAGCCTTATTACCGTGTATGTAACTTGGCAAATGTTACCAAATGAGACAAGAGTAGTTAAAAATTGACGAAAACTTTAATACCGTGGCTACTAATGCTGATCGATAGATTCTGAATTTGACTAATTATTTCCAGAGTGGAACATAACGGAGCTAACTTTGAACATAACCGAAGCTTCCATGTGGAAATGGGCTTTTTTGACTATTTAGAGGCAAAAACTATAATTGGTACGCGATTTTGAGGGATTCCCGGGAAACTGAATTTTTTTAAATTTTAAATTTTCAGATATTATCGTAAACTGAATGCAAAAATTATATTTTTGAAAATCGAGATTCCCGGACAAATAAAAATTTTTCCTGTACCAAACACCCCCTAAAGAAATATCTCATTAATGTGCATCCCATAAGTTAATGCAGTCCAAACCGCACGCTCATCGTACGGACTTTACTGATTATGCGCCACTGTTGGAATTGGACCCGTTGGCAAGCATTTTTTATACACTCGAAGTACTTATGATTTTCATTAAAAAAATTTATTAACCGTTTTTTTTTCTCTTTTTCGTAGATACATATAAAAAAATTGTCTCATCGCACTGAATCAATGATACGATGGGTGTATCAATAATATTTCGCTACTCATTGAGTCGTCTTCATACAAAAAACACTTCACTGACAAAATTAAGCGAATGCAGTATCAGTTCCATATTAATCTTTTATCCATGTGTTTTTCCCTCCAATTTTCAACAATCATTCAGACTTACACCTAACAACCCGTTATATGCTCATTGAACACTCAAACCCAAATTCTCATGGATTGCAAGCATTTAAGCCGAAAATACTCCTATATCACAAAAGTCTCATATATTGATACTGGATTCTGAATCTCATACACATCTCATAATAACCTAATAAAGGCAACTCTCAGTTGATTTGGTACACAACTTTGATCTTAATATAACTTAATTCTGTTTATAATTTGCTTGACTTCAGTATCGAATACTTGTGCTGGTACACTACCCTCCCCTCTGCCTTTACAACTATCACACTGAGAAGAATCAATTACCAAAACGAAGTCCAGATATCCTCCTACTCCCCCTCAATACATATATAAAGTTCGTATAGGACGGCTTTTGTCATTTGTCATCAGAATTTTTTTCATATAAGATTTTTTGTCTCTTAAATTCTTTTCTCATTTTCCCCCCACTTAAAATATAGAGATTTAGATGCTTCATAATTATGGCTTTTGGATCCACCCGATTATATTAATTCCGGTTGGATCATGTTATTGGCAATTTGGCACAGGACTGATTTTGAATAGTATTTTTTTTTTTTTTAGATAAATATTTGTTATTTTAAAATATACAAAAATGATATAATTTCATTAAAAATAACATAAAATTATCTAATTTAAAAGGATAAATATTTTTTTTCCCTAATATACTCAAAAGGCTAGTAAGGATGCACTTTTTTTTTCCTTTTCGGTGAATACGATGCTACTATTTATTTTGCTCCACGAGGTGTAAATGTGTAATGCATCCCATGGTATTGTGGTAGCTGTAGTGTAACGCGTTTGTGGTATAATTCCACAAAACTTTTTTAAAGCTTCTCTGTTTTGGTCAGCTGCCATATCGGGCCTCGGGGCACGCGTCGCAGTCGTGCACAAAAACTAGATGGAGACAAGACAACCCATCCATATCCATTTCCTTTTCTGTAGGTTCCACGCGGGAACTGTGGTAAAAAATTTAAAATATTAGATTTTTAATAATTAATTACGAATTAGTAGTAGTTTAGAAATTATTTTCGATTTTATTGTAGTTATTCACACTCAAATTAGGCATAATTATTTATATCCAAATTAGGCGTGAATCCCAAGACATTCACGCCTAAATTAACCATAAAACTTTATAGGGCCATAACTTTTGACTCGGGTATCCGAATGAGGTAATTCTTTTTTGATTTCACATAACTTTTTGATATCTACGCAATGACATCTCATTTGATATATTTTATCTCTCACAAACACAATTCAAATTTACAACAATGATACTATAAAGATGGCACCAAAATGGCTCATCTATAAATAAGATGACACCAAATTTCCTATTAAATACAAAATACAATCAGCTCCTTTAACATTAAATTCAAAATTCAAATAACCATCACCAAATGATTCGTAAATATTTATTAAAAAAGAAATATTTTAATTTTTTTGCTTCTACCAAGTGTTTGAAAAAAAATAGTGTACAAGGTTATTTATTTAATTATTAAAATATATACAAATTTATATAATATTCTACCAAGTGTTTATAATATTTATTTAATTATTTTCTTTATTAATACAGATTTTTCAAATTATTTTTTGAGTTTAAATCACAAATTAAATCTTTATTTTGTTTTTCTTATTAATATTAATTTTTAAATTTTTTTTGGTAATACATTATATAATACAATTATTGCAAATTTGAATTGTGTTTGTGAGAGATAAAATATATCAAATGAAATGTCATTGCGTAGATCTCGAAAAGTTATGTGGAACCAAAAAAAGAATTACTTTATTCGGATACCCGAGTCAAAAATTATGGCTTTCTAAAGTTTTACAGTTCGTAAGTTGATTTTTTTTTTGTCACGTGTCAACACTAGATGCCTTGGGAGTCACGTCTGATTTAGGCGTGGATGACTGCAATAAATTTGAAAATAATTTCTAAACTGCTATCAATTTGTAATTAATAATTAAAAAAATAATATTTTAATTTTTTTTTCCTGAGAATGGTTCCATACGCTTTTCAACTGCAATCAATCTTCTTGCAAAATTGTACCAAGTAATAAAAAGAGCAAAACATTAGATTTCCATCAGTATTTTTTTTTTTTTTTTAATTTTCATCTCAACCGAATTAATCTTGTATAAATCGGTGGGCATTATAGAACACAACACTTTTCTTGTATTTGTAAATAATTTTTTTACTCATTTTATTTTATTCTTAAAATATATGAATAATTTGTACTGTTTAACTTTAAGAAAGTTATTTTAAAATAAATATATCAAGAATGCAATAAAATTAAAATTTTGTTCTTTCTTAATGGTCAGACCAAATACAATATGGGCTGACTAAAATATATCGAACCTAATCACACACGGTTGGTGAAGATGTTCTACTTCCTGGACTGGAGGTTGTTAACGATGATGTATGAATTCTGATCATTTGTTGGCACGATCGTTGAGACTGGATAGAATACCTGCAATGATACTCTGATGCTTAAGCTAGTATCAGTTGCAAGTGTATATATGTATTCTTACTGAATTAGACGATTATACCTGGGCATGTACCCT